TTTTAAATATGTAAATATCAGATCCTGCGTTCCGCTTTTTGTGATGGAAATGTTATTTCATTTTCAGAAAATTTAAAGCGTCGCTCGCTTTGGAAATGAGGAGGGTGTAGGGAGTGTGAATCAGAAGGGACAAAGTCAGGGAGAGAGAGAGAGGTGGTGAAAATAAATAAATGTATGTGCGCAAGTAACACACACTCATATATGTGTCTTCCTTTTTTGTTCTTTTTATTCTTTGGAGGCTTCGAATATGCGAAGGGATGATCGTGCACGCGCAAATAAATTATTCAAATAGATACGGCAGTTACGAAGTTGGAAATTGAATTGCTTCCCCAAGCGAAATATTGAAAGTTTAATTGGGGAAATCTCTTCATTTCTTTCTGCTGCTTTATTACTGGAAGCCCCTAAAGCCATTCGCCAATCTCCGCCGCTCAAATCTCGAATCGTGTAATAGCTCTCATTCAATCAATATCAGAGAATTAACATATATTAAATCTAATGGTTTTATACTGATTCCTTGCCATTTTATTACATACTACACATTTAGAACAACTACAGTGAAACTATCTATTTACATGTATTAATAAATGTTTAACATATTTTATTTATTACATATCATGAGTGTATTAGTTTCCTTAACTACATGAATTATTCCTTTGACTGTAAAATGAGTTAAAGTTTTTAACTTTGCCTAGTTATAATATACATTTTTTATTATTGAAATATTGAGAATTCAGCGTTCTTTTGATATTCAAGAATATCATTCACATTATTTGCAGAGATATCTACTTTCAATTTATTAGTAATTCTAACGATTTTACATGTTTTTTTTACTAGTTTTTCATAACTTTTCATTCGAAATTAATAGTTATTTAAGCTTATCATTTCAATTTAAAATAATTGATTTGATTTATTGATGAAATGCATGTTTATAGATTTAAGAATATTTTGAGTTTTCAGTGTTTTTCAAATTCGACTCACATAAAACCTATATATTTATGTGACTTTGGTAAGCGAGAAAATACGGCAATTATTTGTATGTCCCATGACAGAAAACCAGCGAAACTGCCTGTTGTTATTTAGGATGTATGTTATTTATTTATTTTTCAACAAACTGTGGTTTGCTTAATTGCCCATCGATTCGGGTGTCGGATTTAACGGAACAAGGATTAATGCGTGTGCAGATCACGATGTGATAACTTGTTTTACACTCATGTTAACATATGTTTCTTTTAATGATGATCTGCAACCTGGGGATAAGATACTTTATCGATGCACGGGCTCGGCTGCGAGGATTCAGTCTGTGCCCGTCGGGTACATTTTAATAATATCTTTTAAATGATCCTACCTTAATTGGCAGCATGATCTAAAGTTTCGGTGCAATCGTATTTCTTATTCGTAGGGGGCTTTATCAATTTTACATTTAACTTAGCGTTTATACGACCAATTTGTAAACATTTACTTTATTACTGTCGGCTGCAGTATTACTTGAACTAGGTGTACTTTATCCGCGATTTGAAATTGTACAGATTTACTATAATGTAGGTATCAACAGTTCATCGACCATTTAGTAGACTGAACTTTGCACATTCTTGCAAATATTATTGAATTAATAATATTATGTAATAGTTTTTCATGTAAACTTATGCATTTAAGATAAAATTATTTTTCTTTGCATACATATTTATTGTGTTAAATAATTTTATATCAATAGTCTATTAGTTGTTACTCAAACTTTTGTTTTGAATCCACAATTTTTCCGCCCGTATACTTGTTTTATATATTAATAATATCTAAATAATAATAAAACAAAAAAGATTAAATGATGCAAAGTTTGTGAATCTGAAAGATCAGACTTACAGATTATTTGTGTGTTCTACTTTTCAATATATATTTTGTATGATGGAAGCCATGTATTTGTCATGCAAATTGAGAATCAGGTGTACTTAAAACTCAAGACAAATAGTCTGCGTTATATTATTTTTATAACTTTATTATATTTTATGTTACAAACTTATCACTTGATATAACTATAAATTGATGAGATAGAATATAAGTACTGTTGACAGTTATATTATTAATGTAAATCATCTATCCAAATACTGTAATTTTCGGAAAATGAGATTAATTATAAGACGTACAATACATTTTGGGTTAATTAATAAAATAAATATGTATATAAAAGATTAATTCTGTATCTAAATGTCAGATTACAGTATTTTTAGTGAAACATTATTTTTTTCTGATAAAAATCAATTATTTAATAAACATCATAACGCATTGGCAAATTAAAATGAGCTATGTTTAATGTGTTACGTTAATGTTGTAGAAAATAAGTTCCTATGAAAGTTCTAAGAAAGTAAAGTAGAAGTGCCATTAGACGAAAGTGAAAAAGTTGCGAAGGGATTAAAAGTCAGACGAAACGAAATCGGTCGGATTTTTCCACTTCTCTCCAAGTAAACTATATTTAGTTTGGCATGCCTCTTGTTTCCCCATCGATATACTGGATGTTAAATGAATTGATTTACAATAAAGTGATGTTGATGGGTTTCAACGTAAAATGAGGAGCGTATATATATATATAGATGAGTGTGTGCGTTGGAGTAGTAGGCTCGTGGAAATAAATGTCGAGAGGGGCCTAATTTTACGATTCGATCTATAAATTATGTGGAACTCAGTTGGAAGACCGAAAATCGACATAAATCTTTGCGGCGGCCCTCTTCTCTCCAATCATTAAAGCCTCGCCGCGCCGCGATCATAACACTAAATTAGTTTTTATTACGCGACATTGAAAACGCATTGTTTATCGAGCTCCCAGGACAACGGTGCGGTAATTTAGCAGGGTTTTAATTAGAATCGATCGCCAATATATTTTTTCGGTTGGAAACGCGCTCGTGTATGTTCCGAGGGAGAAGGGCAGATAATGGCCGACTATAAATATAAAATGATTTTCAATTGCGGCACCCCCACAGGGGTTGACGCTCAACCGGGGGGAAATGGATCGGAGGGTGGTGGATAGTACAGTCGCGCGACATCAAACCGTTTCATTTTTTTATATAGTTTTTTTATATACATTTTAAAGAAAAGAAGCTTATTCTATGCTCGCTACAGCAATTGGAATCAATTTGCTTTCCAACGGAGCTCTAAAAAATGGAGAGTTCGAGAGAGAGAGACTTAGTGAGGAGTGAACAAGGGGTGGCGGGTACCATTTATTACAACAAAGCTGTTACTTTCTTCTTCTCCACCTTCTCCCTTTTGGTGTGAGCCATTGAAGAAAGATGACAAATGCTTCGGTGCGGGATTTGTCGCACCAACGAATTAACTGCGACCGAATTCCCCTTTGATACACAACCGCCGATAATTAATGGCACCCTAATGATTTATTTATTATTTAACGCACGCTCGCGCTCAAGATTAATAGCGTGTTAAGATATAATTAGAAGATTTCGGCGGGGATTTCAGATGGGGCAACCATTTCGCTCGTCGTTATGCAATCGCCGCCCACATTTTTCACCCGCTTTCAATCACTCAATCAATGTTCGCAAAATTGATCCATTGAATCTGAAGGGCCTCACGCAGATCGCGCCCCTCGCGCCGTTTGTTCCTGCACGTCGGATGTCAATCGTTGTACATTACGATTATGCACGGATTAATCTCAACAAGAAGGGGATTATTCAAATTATACTACTAATAGTACTAAGATTCAACGATTTTGTACTTCATTTAATTTTCAAGTTTAACGCTCAGTAATTGAATACACTAACTACTCGATATAAATATACATTTACACACTTTATTTAATAGCAATAAGTATAAATAATTACCTAATTTTATAACATCAAAGAAAGTTTTACTTAATATACGAATATAATAAAATGTCTGTTAGATCTGCTAATAATGAAATAATTAAAAATATACCCATTATGTTGTAAAAACTATGTTTAACTAACTTTTATTTATATAATATTAAAAATAATTAATCTAAAAGTATATTATTACTTTTGAAATTGTATTGTATATTAAATAAACGTTAATACTATTCAAATAAAACGAAATAAGGATAAACTTGATAGTGTTGACACCATTATAATATAGACAAAGAATTAGTGAAATAAAGGTATATTCAGCAGATCCGTCTGCATGCGCATTTTGTATAGACACTATAGAGCTTTGTGAAGCATGAAATTGTGGATTAGTCTGGAGCCGGATGCTTCATTACCTCAAGATTTTACTGAAACTGATAGACGTATCGCGTCCAATGGGGAATTGTAATAGCAATTCGCTTTTCCTCGAAACCGTTCGAAACAGAATATTATCTATTTCGCACCGATCCCATCCTCTCCCTATCCTTTCAATTTGCACTCTACGCTTTGCAGCCAAACTGTGGGTAAGGTCGCTTCTTCCTAAATGGAGATCGCCGGATTGCACAATCCTGCTGATTGCATTTCCAACGGTTTACATTTTCTAAGTTAATCCAGTATACTTCACTTACACATCATTACTTTGCATCAAGTTGTATTTGATAAAAATATAAAATAGGTATAAAATATAAATAGGTACCAAATATTAATACATTTTTTTCATAAAAACATTAATAATATCACACATATAATGTTATGGATACATTTTATTATACTGATTTAAGCACTATTATTATATTATTATACTATTTAATTATGAAACTTTATCTTTACAAAATAGGCTGCAATATTTTTTATTATAAAGGTAATCTACAAATTAGCCTATGTAAATAAATAAACAAACAACATAAATTCTATAAAATTAGTTTGCGTTATTTAGTATAATGTACGGTTTGTATAGCAACTTATTTAATATAGAACATTGAAACTGGTTTCAAATTAATGCCAATGCAAATTAGTAAATAAATATTAAATTATTTTTGAACTACTTCAATTTTTGTATAATATTCATACAGTTATTACAATTATTAAATTACTTGAATTATTATATATAACTAATATATTTTGGTAATTTTGTTTCAGGTGTATACGAGTTTGTGCCATTGGAAAGCGGAGACGGACAAAGGTTGCAGATCAATGCCCAAAATTGCATCCATTGCAAAACGTGCGACATCAAAGATCCTAGTCAAAATATCAACTGGGTTGTTCCAGAGGGCGGCGGCGGTCCAGCATACAACGGCATGTAATCTCCACGCAAGATTTCGAACGGAATTCTCTTCCATTTTATACGCACAAATTAATTAATATTTTGTTAATTCAAATATAGTCATTTTTATATTGAATGCAGAAAATAATGAAATCGTTTGATAAATAAATTGTTATAAAAATAAATATATATATATATATTCATATTTTGTACACACAGACGCCGATCATAAATGTAAGCGGAGCGGATAGGGATAATGTGCAACGAATTCCCATTTATAATGGTAAATAAACCGTGTCTGGTACGGTCCGTGTTACATTAAATAGATTTTTTGTATTGTATATTTTAATTATTCGATTGTCAATGGACCTCTGCTTTTATCCAGTACCGATTTATTTCAATAATTTATCTCGTTTTTCCTGCAATGTACATTCCGCTCGAATCCAGTCAGAACAGCGGCGGTGTTTGTACCGAAAGCCGTCGGTCCGCCAAAATCAAACTTTTGAACAATGGAATTATACCCTTCGGTTAATCCCAAAGCCGCACCGAATCCGTCTTTAGGCTGCCACCGGAAGGGATACATTTTGAACCTTTCTAGCTTTGTGTCTTGTTATACGTTTCGGCGACATTTCGTTCTAGTTAACTGGATTTATACAAGTTCCTGTGCAATTTCGAAATACCAGCGACCGCTTTATTTCGATAAACTTCATTGTTAATCATAGAATTAATTAACTTCACATGAATACGGAAAGCCCGTTCTCTGGAATTATATGTATAGCGTACGTTACGTAAACGACCTATTATTAAAAGCATATAAATTTAATAAAATCTAATTAAAACGGAATTATAAATATGTTTCATATAGTGCATTATATAGTGTATGGACATACGAGCAAGCTCTTTTATTTCCTATTAAATAATAATTTCATCGTTTGTTTCAAGTTGGAACATTACATAAATATGTGCAGACAAAAACGAGTGTTATATAAATAACACTTGAAATATTAAAACAAAATGATCGTAGCCCAATTTAATTATTATGTAATATCAATTTGTAAAAATTAATTTAAAAACACATTTTAAATAAACAAATAAATTGGTATGATAATAATAAAATATGAGCCGTCATCCTGAGAATCTGTTTTTACAAAAATTTCATAGCAGTTACAATCCTGAATTTGATATTAAAATAATAAGCCTTTCTTTACTTTTGGTAGAAATCCTCTGAATCTATTTAATAAAGGATGGAAAATATTCTTAAAAAGTTCAAATCTTAAAATTTTAATTTAATTGAAAGTATATTATGTGTAAATGGGCTATTAAATATTCAACATTATCAGGATATATTTTCAATATGTACTCCTTTTTATTATTCTAAAACATTTTTACCTTAATTGTTGTCAAGGGCGACTAATAGCCGAATGGTTAAGTCGCCCTACCCACGATTTCGTGGACGCCCATTCGAATCCTGGTCAAGCCAGGCCCTTTCGGTACTTGCAGCAATAGGGCCATCGTTCATCACATATGGACAGTCAATTTAATGAGCATATGGAAGTCGATGGACAATGACAGTGTTAAGGATAGCAGCAGATTCACAGTCAAAGGAAATAGTGGAATCGCAGAGAATCAATATACTACTGAAGTTAAACTACTAGACGACTGACCAACAAATTAAAATCAAATCATCATAACTATTCACCGGGAAAGATTATCCGTTTAATGTCAACCGCGATCTTAAATTTTATCAATGTTCACATTGATGAACAGATTGTGAATAAAATTATACGACATAAAAAAAATGTTGTCTAGTTCCGTTTTTAACAAAATATTATTAGTATAACTTAATAAATAAAAAAATTCTGGTCTGACAATAATATTTTCATTGTATCTACGACTGTTGCTATGAATGCAATAGTTTTCAATTCCAAGTGTGATTTGAACTTTGAGTTTATATAGCATTTTTATTGTCAATTCATTATCAACTTAGAATGTATTAGCAAGTTTGTGGGAAATTTGTAATTTCATATCAAGTAATTTAAGGTGAGTAATATTTTTTATCTTATAAATCTTTGTAGATTGCATGGATTTAGTTACTATATGCTTATTAATTTCCATCAGTGATATATTGTATTCATGCTGCAGAAATTTTACTATATTGTAATTAACAGGATAATTGATAGTAAAACAAAAAATAGAATTACTAGAATTGGTAAATTGCTAATCAATACAAATATGAAATATAATATAATATCATATTTTATATTATCTTTTATTTGAAATTTTATAAAATTATAATGCAGTAAATGAGAAAGAAACGGCGATAATAAATTCTAATATTCTAATAAAAAGCATAAATCATGCTAAAAAGTGTAACATACAAATGCAGTCGGAAAAAACGTGATTAATTCAATCAAATATGTTAACATTAACTACTAACTATCTAATATTCTACTAGCAATGAGCTATTAAAAAAAGACTTTGTCCACTTGTCTCGAAAGAAACTTAAGCATTGGTTTAAAAAAGAAATATATAATTATATGGCATATCTACTTTTAATTATGTGTTAGTATTTGGATAAAATTTTCGTCGCTCGTTTCTGCTAGGTTTTTGTTCGCGATATACGTGCTACGTATTCTAGGAAACTTTGTAGGGTATTTTCACTGAAATTGTTACAAATAACTTACAACTTTACAAATTAATTAAATCTAATTTTGTTAAGAAATCTAATTTACTATTTAACTATATATTAATCAAACTGACATTATTTCTAGAAAACTTGTGGAATATGAAGAAATACATTTTCTTAACTTGACATAAACTTAAGAAAATGTATTTCTCCCGGACCATTAGAAACTGGATTAATCTAGGAAGTAAATACACATAAAAATAAATCGCATTATTATAAAATAATTTTGTGCAATATTTTTATTAGAGTTTATTTTGCTTATTTAAAATTTAGTTTGTTTCAAATTTTCAAACTGGACTATAATAAATCCTAACCGACCGAAGCCACTCTATACGAGGTATTAATGTGCTTTTTTAATCCTTCTTGGTATTCATGAAAACAAAATGATGTACTGGTTTTAGTATAAAATTTAAATCACTTAACATAAATTTGTTTAATTTATATGGACTTACAGAAGTTTGTATAAATTTGACAAGTAATGATTTGAAAAGTTTCTATAGTATACTATAGATATATGAAATAGTAAAAATTGATATGGTTTTTGATAGAAATTTTAATATATTTAATAAACAATGCAACGTAATAAGTATTTTTATAAAAGACCTAGTGCAAAAATAATTCATAGCAATCCGCTATAGTCCGCGGGATTTAATATTTTGAGTTTAGTGGTCCGTGAGGTCAAAAAGATGATATTCCTTGTTTGCCAATATTTAAAAATATTGGTAAAAATATTGAAGTTAGGGCCTTGATGGATAAGAAAATTCAATCCATTTATTGTTCTTGAGATTTTTATTTGGAGTGCCTCCCCAAAAACAAGTTTGGTAGACACTGGTCTAATGCAATAATATTTCAGTATAAAATATCAAATATGTAGTAGATAATTATATTTTAAACCACTCTATATCCTATACTTTACAGAAGGCTTATGTGTTATCAAGAAATGCTGAGCAGTATTATTGGTGTCTCAAATCCAGTCAGATTATATAGACTTACATGTTACGAAGGTCCATGTTTTCTTCAAAGCCGAATTGATGATTTGGTTTAAGATCAGTATAGTATATTTTCGATTGAAGGCAACTCAATCTGTTCTAATTCTATACATTTGAAAGAATGCAATGTTAAGTTTGCTAATGAAAAATGTATATGTGAAAATGCGTAGTAAACAAATACAACACTGAGGTATTGCTATTAATAAATAAGGAAAAGTGCAAAAATACATTAAAAAAGATATGATTGGTTTGTAGAGGATATTTTGTGGCAGAGTATAAATAACGAGACGTCTTTTATATGTATATTTCTTGCTTCGTTTCATCTTTTTATCCCGAGTGTGACATATTGTATATTTCAATTTCGCAAATTAAGCACAGGAGACCCCACATAACCGCAAACAAACACACTCTTTTTTACTCTCTCCCTTATATAAAAATATATATTTTTTTGGTTCCATTCTACATCTGAAGGTGTGGGGTTGTCACGGATGGCTAGATCCGACTGTCACGTTTAATCCTCTCGTGATTAGAATATGCAACAATGTCCTTCCTGCTTCGTTGGATTGTTGGATGAGGGGTGGATGCGTTGCGTTGCACGCCTTCATCCTTACCCCGCTTTGTTTCCGACCCGCGGAATCCAATTCCCGAGACTACATGATAATTTTCAGTAATGCGAACCTTTTCTGAATTATTTATAGGGGGCGCATTTTCAATATACGCCGCCCCGGTGATTGCTGCTCCTCTGACGGCGAATGTATTGTGCCTGCCTCTTCTCGCACAGCACGAGGATGCTACTTAATAGACGCCGTGAACTCTACGGGAAAGAAAGTGATTAGATTTATTAGGAGGGTTGAAGAGGGTTTCGGGACGACCTGATGGGCGCATGAACTTCGATCAATTAAAATTCCTCATAGCCGGCAAACTTTAAATAATTAATCTGCTAATCCTTTGCCCACACTACAACATCCTCTTAACTCATCTGATATTCACCGACATGGATAAATCTAAATTTCAACCTTCTTCTTTCATCCGATACGTATTAATAGATGTCTTATTACTTTATTTAATGTAAAATCCTAAAATTACACAAATAATTACAAAAAAAACGCATATAAAAACATGAATCATTGCAATGAACTCCATTTATGACAATTTATATTACAACCTTGATTTTAAATTTATTTTTGAGATATATAAGAAAAAATCTGCAGACAATCATCATATAATTTTGATTCTACGTTGTAGAAAATAATCAATTTTGTTTTATTTCAGGTATTAAATTTCAACTGGAAAATTTGGAAATCCTCCGAGATTTTCTAAACGATGTATCAGGTGGTAAAAGGAGGATCTAATGATTTAGCGGTTATTTCCATTAATTTTTATAGCAATTAACGGCACGGCATTCTGCACATTTAACGTGCAAAAAAATGTGAACTCAGATACACTCAAAATTAGCGTTCAATTTTCGCGAACGATAAATAT